TTACTGCCACTATCACTATTTTCTCGACTTTCAGCCATGGTTTTCTTCTTTTCTATAAGAAAATACCCAACTATTTTGTTCAATCCTTATTGTAAATTTCCTTTCCCGGCTAAGTTAAACTTAACATTTCATTGGTCTCTTCTGTCATGTGAAATGCACGTGCATACGTCATAAGGTCATAGGTTGAAGTTCACAATATTTTATCCTTACTTGGGTCAAATGTTAGTTACGTCTCTTTAGCTATAAGGGAAAAGCATGAACCTGTAGCTTCCTTTATACCCTAACCCACGGTGGGTTCGTTTTGCCGCATTGCCCAACTAGCCGCATCGTGCCCAACTGCACAAAAACGACTTGTAAAACGAAACTAAAGGTTTTTGATAAAATCCGGAATGACCATTTGTTTCACATGAAACGAAATATTTTAATCTGTTGCCCCGCATCGATTTTCTTTTTATTTATAATTTGGACCTGTTAGGGAAATCGAAAGTAGAGTTTCATGGTAAAATCTGGAATAAAATAAATACCAAGTACAAACGATCAGAACCGTGTAGGGACCAAAACTACCCATCCTACAGATAAAGTTCAAAAAGTTTATTCCATGACAAAGTTTTCGATTTACAGCTTCAATATCATACATTTTACAACATCTACAGCTTACATTATCATTTCTGAAACAATACAAAAAGTACATCTTTAATTCTCTGATAAAACTCCAATTTTGCTTACAAATTAAGAGGGATATCAATGAGGTATAATGTGGAATTTGACGATTGTATCATGATCAATGTGGGTGGCTTGCCCACCTAATGCCTATGCGATAAAATGAAGTCAAAATAACAACACATACGCCCACCTTACGACAATTCAAGGACGACATTGTAGTAAATTCTACGAAAATTATATACTTTACACCATTAAATACACAAATCGTAACAATTATAAGTTAAATTATTTATGAAAAAATTCTAAGGCTCAAAGCTGTGTTTCAATGTATTTCAGCAGAAGGAACGTTACCTTTTTTGTGCGAGAAGATAACTATTTTTTGTCCTATTTCATGAAGTTCAGCTTGTTGTGGGCGCTTTTCCTGATTCTCTGGACCAATAATTAGTAAAGTTATGATCGTCAAAAGTAGCGAATATATGGGGTCATGTCATATTTCTAGCAAATCAGACGTGTAGAAGACTGGGTCTATAAAAAACATCCATACATAGTAAGTATGTAGTAGTATAAAAACTGTGAATTAGGAAGAAAATCTGACCTAGTCGTCAAAATCATCAGGAAGGAAATTAACACCGAGTGTCTGTAATATTCCTTTGTTGTATAAGTGTTATTTAACTTAACTAATCGACACTTTAATGGTAATTGCATACTGCCAGTATGTCTATCATTATGAAAGGTAATCTAAAATAACAAG